CTTTTGCACTATTTTGACTTTGATATTAATTTGTGATTTTTTCATTAATTTTGACTTTTGTATTAATTTTGTGACTTTTTTATTTTTGTTTCGACTTTCGTATTAATTTTGTGACTTTAACATTTGTGTTTCGTAATTTTACATTTGTGTTGTGACCTTTGCATTATTTTTTACTTTTGTATTAATTTTTGACTTTCACATTCGTGTTATGCCTTTAGTATTTGTTTTTTGACTTTTGTATTTAACTTTTGTATTTGTGTTTTAACTTTTGAATTTGTGTTATGACTTTTGTATTAATTTGTGACTTTCACATTCGTGTTGTGACTTTTACGTTTGTGTTGTGACTTTTTCATTCATTTTTACTTTAATATTAATTTTGTGACTTTTACACTTATGTTGTGACTTCTGCATTATTTTGACTTTTATATTAATTTGTGACTTTCACATCCGTGTTGTGACTTTTACGTTTGTATTGTGACTTATTTTCATTGCGTGTCTTTTACACTGTTGTGACTTTTCCATTAGTTTTACTTCACATTTGTGACTTATAGTCGTGTTTTATTTTTTTACCTTTACATTAATTGATGTTTGTTTATTATGTGAATGTTGTGACTTTTAGGCTTATGTTGTGAGTTCTGCATTATTTTGACATCTATATTAATTTGTGACTTTTATATTCATTTCATGACTTTTACACTTGTGTTGTGACTTTTGCATTATTTTTACTTCACATTCGTGTTGTTACTTTTTCATTCATTTTGTGACTTTCACATTCTTGTTGTGACTTTTACATTTGTGTAGTGAGTTGTATTTTAGTTTTGACTTATAGTCGTGTTTTGTTATTTTTTGACATTTACATTAATTGGGGTTTGTTTATTATGTGAATGTTGTGACTTTTAGGCTTATGTTGTGACTTTTGCATTATTTTGACTTTTATATTAATTTGTGACTTTCACATTTGTGTTGTGACTTTTTCATTAATTTTGACTTCAATATTCATTTTGTGACTTTCACATTCGTGTAGTAACTTTCACATTTGTGATGTGAGTTGTATTTTAGTTTTGACTTATAGTCGTGTTTTGTTTTTTGACCTTTACATTAATTGGGGTTTGTTATGTGAATATTGTGACTTTTAGGATTATGTTGTGACTTTTGCATTATTTTGACTTTTATATGAATTTGTGACCTTCACATTCGTTGTATTTTAGTTTTCACTTATCTTCTTTTTTGACCTTTACATTAATAGGGTTTTTTTTTGTTGTGACTTTTACATGCGAGTTATGACCTTCTGTACAAAGGATCACTGTAGTATGGTGCTATAACATTCGTAATATAATGCGTACGGCACCACCGACATCTCCTCGTTAGTATAGTGGTGAGTATCCCCGCCTGTCACGCGGGAGACCGGGGTTCGATTCCCCGACGGGGAGTTCACATGCTTTTTTTAATCCATCACTCTTACTCACTTACTTACTTTAGTCTCAGAAAAGATATTTGACACAGTCACCTATGTCTAAGAACTTAGATAGTAATGGTATTGTATCTGGCTTCCATATAATACATAACATGTTCTTCAAACCTCCAACATTCAGATAATCAGACTGCTTACTGGGAAAAACAGCCCAACACCTAAAATCTTTAAAAAACATATTTTTTCCTAAACTATACAAAAGTCCCAACTAATATCTTGAAAGTATTCTGAACAAAATACGAAAAGTCTGTTGCATTGGCCGGGAATCGAACCCGGGCCTCCCGCGTGGCAGGCGAGAATTCTACCACTGAACCACCAATGCTCACATACCATGTTTTTTTGCCTCTTTTTTTTTGCCCCTACAACATTTGAGACAGTAGACAGTACATGTGCAGTGCTGTGGTGAGGAAAAAAAAAGGATGGGTGAACACTTAATAACAACTCCTCGTTAGTATAGTGGTGAGTATCCCCGCCTGTCACGCGGGAGACCGGGGTTCAATTCCCCGACGGGGAGTCCAAGTTCTTTTTTTTACTGTCCCCACTTACGTCACCTTACTTAATTATCAATATATATAAAATATAATATCTAAAATGCACAGCTTTTCTGTATCATTCTGCAAACAACCAAACACAACCCTTCCCTTATTACTTCAATACGAAAACTTTCACCTAAAGTGAAAAAGAGGTCCACAGCGCAGCCAAACTGGATCTAACACAAATGAAAATTAAATCACAACATTGAGTAATTGTTAAAAAAAAAAGCTTGATTACATGTGATCAACAGTGAAAAACAAAAGGGATGTTGCATTGGCCGGGAATCGAACCCGGGCCTCCCGCGTGGCAGGCGAGAATTCTACCACTGAACCACCAATGCTCACATATCGTGACTCTAGTCATCATCGATTACATAGATTTATGGAGACAGGCATGCGATGGATAAAAATGCAGTAGCGATTTCACATTTGTGTCAAATTGGTAAAAAACTGTGTTCTCAACTTGGAGCTACATGTACTACAATACTCGTGTATTAATGTTACAACAGCCAAACACAGAAACATAATCAAACTTCATCTCCAAGTATTTCAGAGTCTGCTGTCTATGCTGATGAATGTAGATATTTTAGAGAAATTACTGCATGAAGAAAGAGGATGTGAGAGAAAGAAAAAAAAAAAAACTGTGCGCCCAACGTGGGGCTCGAACCCACGACCCTGAGATTAAGAGTCTCATGCTCTACCGACTGAGCTAGCCGGGCTTGATGCAAAAAGAAAATGTTGCACTTTTAAGATGTCACCATTTCCCTGGGATCCTACATATAATCATTAGTATTGATTATTGGTTAGCTAACAAGCTTGCTTATTCATGAGCCGTAAGGATGCAGCAAATAAAAACGTGTATAAATTGTTTGCTGACGAGACTTAAAAGATAAGATCGACCGAGAAACAAAACAAGTGCCCCGTGTGAGGCTCGAACTCACGACCTTCAGATTATGAGACTGACGCGCTGCCTACTGCGCCAACGAGGCTTCAAACACACATCAACAGGAAGGCTTTAAATAGGGTGTGCAGTCAGGGATGACGAGAATGATAAAATCAATTGTTATGCCGATTGAATTTACATAATTAATATTATATTCACTAGATGATAAGATTAACCTCCTTTTATAGATACTGATTTTAAATCGTATGGAAAACTTCAAACTCAAAAATTACAAGTTAGGTTTTGTTCTTTTAGTTGTTTTCTTTTTTTATTTGTTGTACAATTTAGTTGGTCTTTATAATATTAAGTATACACTAAGTTGTGTCATGAAATAAAGAATTAATAATGGGTAGATAATAATAATAAACCCTATTTCTCCTTGGTTAAGGAAAACTAAAATTAAACTTGAAGTTGAGCAATAAAAAAAAATTAGTTACTGATATTTCAGTCAATAATAACAATTAAGCAAACAAACACTTAAAACATATTTTTGTACTTTCACTAACTTTACAACCAATGTAATAAATTAAATAAAATTTTTAATTAAATCTTTAAAATGTTTTTTTAAATTTAATTTATTTAACATAAAATAAAATAATATTAATAAAATACATACACACAAATATATATAATATAAAAACAAATGCCCTCACCTTAAAAACACAATCACCATCAGTTCCTCTCCTCGGCCACCAGAGGGAGGCACAGCGCCACTCGCTCCCACCCGACACCGCCCGCCCCACCGTTACCCCACCGTTACCCCACCGCCCCGTTGCCCTCGCTTCTATTACCCCACCCACACACGTGACATAATGTCCGAAAACATTTAAAAGTGTGTGCATAATGAGTTATTTTCTCCTTTTCACACAAATTTAGCAAAAAATAAAAAAAAATTCCCTGCACTCGCTCACGTTTTCACTTAAAGCACGACAAAAGTAAACAAGATGATAAAAGATGGTCAAAACACGAGGGAGTAATCGATCCGATACTGATAAATAACCAATAGCTGTTAGCTTCAGCCACCGACAAAGGACACCGCCCCGTTAGGTCGCTTTCAGAGCCAGCACACACACAAATCAGCTCCTTTTTTCACACACACACCTTTTTAAAAGAAAACAACTATATGTTTACAACACGTCGCGGTGTTTTGTTTACATTAACTCACCTCTGGTTTTGTTTTCCTCCACCCATCCTCCGCTGACGGCCGCGGAGTAACTTTTTCCTTCGATGAAATGTGCCGTTAATCCCGGTCAGTCTCCTCCTCGGTGCAATTTAGAAACATAAATTATATTAAATTACTCTGGCAGTGTAAATAATAAGCGGTAATAGCGGCGGTGTGACCGGACGAGTCCCGCGTCTCAACACCGCGGACTGACCTCCAGACACCGAGGCGCCTCCAATTAGGGCAGCAGCCAATCAGAGGAGGCCAGAGGTGAGCTCATATCACATGACCGTCGAGCGACGAGGGGTTGTTTGAAGGGTCAAGTTTATCATTTTGTTAATTTCTTTTAATATAATTGTTTATCTAGTATGTATGATTGTTAAAAAAAAAAGTTAAAAATACATAATATGACATGGAAAAAATAAAAAACTATGCTTACAGGCAATAATCGGCTCAAAATGAATCCAAATGACTCTTTTTGCACGAAGTTATCAGGTAAATAATGTGAATTTTACATAAAATATGTCACTTACTAAATGATAGAAACGGGTTCCTTTAGGGAAAAAGGTATTTTCTGACTTTTCTTTGTGAAACACTGGATAGTTTTCCCTCATTAGGGCTCTACAAAGTATACAAATTAAACTAGGGCTGCACAATTAATCAAAATATTACCGAAATTCTTCTATAGGCGAGTGCAATATGCTAATCAGAGACTTTATTAGAGAATTTAACATCATGATGATTTTAAATTAGTTTTTTGGGTGTAGAATAAATGTGTCTAAATTAATCCTATATCCGTCAAAATAATCACAATATGATGTTTTTACCCTGTCGTGCAGCGTATATAAACCAGGATGTGTATGTGGAGTGACAGCAGAGGAACAAAATACAGCCGTGTGCCAACTGAGAGGCATATTTAATAATTTAATTTCACCATGCATAAACCATATAGAAAATACTTTACAGCAATGACGTTTAAAAAAACAAACAAACAAAAAAAACATTTCATGATAAGAAAGCAAGAATCACAGATCACTGAAGCCTCGCAAGTTGTCGTCGGGTTAGTGTGGTGGTAGTTAGTACACGGTTGGATCAACAGAGAGGAATAAAGTCAACAAAACAGTTCAAATAAACAACACAAGATAAAAACATAATTTTAGAAACATGTTACACTTATGTAACATCCAACGCAGCGGCGAGGAGCGTGGGTGCGCTTGATTTTTTTTTCAGGTGTTGACGCCCCGGTGGGGTCCTCACTGCTTTGCAAAAGGTAATCAGTGACCCCCGACAGAAGTGGGGGCAGAAATGAACAAATACGGGGGGGTTAATGGGGGCATTACATGCAGAAGGCATCCATTTCTACCCTTACACTTTTCAAATGGCACTACTTTAAAAGGATTTAAGTCATGACAAATACACTCCTTCATGTTACTGATGATTGGCAACAATTAATACTGCGTCCATCACATCAGAGCACTATACTATATATAATATATGTAACCTTCAGCCAGATCCGTGTGGTGTCCGACCATAAAAAAACAGTCGAATAATTAAACAAAAAGGGCTCCAAGTGGTCTTCTTTACTCGTGTGTGAGCTTTATTATGTCTCGTGATTTCACAGTTAGAGGACGTGGTGGCAGCTGGACATTTTTTGAACCGACAATGCCGACAGCTACCGTTATAATTACAGTCACTGACACAGAGGGGTTAACATTAGGAGTTATTGTTGTATTGAGCGCCTTTGCTTTCATTTTTGTGTAGGGACAGGATGGCAAAATTCAAATAAGGTGTTATTTGACATCCCGCTCGGGCCAATAAAATTATTTGTGCGTTTTGAATCTGCTGGGATTGCATTCGGGCACACGATCAAGAGCTTCAATTAGTATTTTTAGCATCTGCTTGTTAAATACAATACCGCTTTATACAAATGACAAAGCAAAAACAAACACACTGCTTCACATATTTATCTTTCAAGTCACTTATGATGTGTTCCTCTCTCCACCGTCTGTCTGCCCCTGGGGTGACGGATGAAGACGTCTAAATTAGATCTGAAACGCCTCCTCTGCACGTCTGCAGACAAAAAAAAAAAAATACCGATACCGAATTTTAAGAGGTTTTCACCCTCAGAGGCGAAGCGGGCGGGTGGAGAAGTGAGAGAACACAGGATTGGTTCAGAGACAGTGAGAAAAAGTGTTTAAACCATTTAATTTACAGCTCATTTGGTTCCATTATTGGATGTAATCATACAGCAACACAACTAGAAAAATATTTCTTAAACAAAAAGCTTATAACATGACATTAAAAAAGGGATTATTTCTATGTTAGCAACTACTTAGCTGTTAGTGTTAAGGTCACTGTATAATTACATTTTCAGCCAGTGGAACAGAAGAGGGAGCTGTGAAGTAAAGAGTTTAAAACAAAAAAAAAAAAAAAAAAGGAGGAGGAATGAAAACACAATAGGTCCAAGTCACTTAAGTTCCATTCAGAGGAATGAGTGCACATTACGTGGTGAGTGATTCACTTTCTCCATTCATTCATTCATCCAGCTGTCTACTGCAGTCAGTGCTTGTTCTTCTCCCAAGGAGGATTCAAGGGACACCTTGACACTACGCAAAGCATTTGAGGGAAACTTTGGTCATTACACTGATTAGAAAGCAGCATTGTTGCATCCATTTAAGAAAGAGAAGATATTAACATACAGATGGATCACAGTGTTTCCCCGACACAGAAAAAGTAGCGCTGCTGCAACACTGCTGTTATTTTCTCCTTATGATAGAGAACATCATCAAAAGAGATCATAATTGTTTATTTATATCAAATAAGGCTGGAAATATTAAGTGTTCCAGTATATTAGTTTTTGTAGTAGTAACAAATAAAAGAAATTGTATCTTTTGACTGAGTTTGACTGGAGTTTTGCATTTAAAATGTGGGGAAACACTGCATCCTTCCATCTAGTTGTCTCCATTATGGGTTTTTAATAATTCCTTCTTTGCAAATAGTCGTTTCCTTCATCGTTCCTTCCATCCACTCCTAAAAAACAAACAAAAAAACAGCTATGGTACTTTTTGACCTCTCTAGCAAGATGCATGTTCCAGGTATCTTGCATGTTTTTTTTCCTTCATTTTCTTGTAAAAAGTCACTTTTTCTGTCCATCTTTTCAGAGGCGGAGGACAAAGCATCTGAGCTCCTTCCCAACCTGTTTGTCCTTCCTCTACCTCTCCTCTCAGAACAACACGTCTTCGTTGGTGATGAGCGTTTCCACCACAAGTCTCTGGTATCGGATGTCGTTGAGCGCCGTCATGGCGTCCAGCTCGGGGGCCCTCATCAGCGTCGGGCCGAAGACGATTCCCAGGTTCTCGCTGGACATGAGGTTATCCTTCTCGTTCTGGGTCACTCTGGACGGTGAGAGGGACGAAAGCACGCATAAGCCCTTCTGACCACAAAACTGAAATACTGAATGTTAAACAACTTAGCAATCACAACTAAAGCCAGTGATTCAGTGAAACTGCGTTCAGACCTCTTGAGGTGAGCCATGAGGTATCGCAGCGTCTCGCAGTGAGCTGGCGGCAGCAGCTTCAAGGCCTCATGGAGAGCCTCCAGACGTTTTTCTGGGTCTGAAATCTCTGCAACAGAGACAAAAATAAACAGAGATTAAAAGGACAAGTGTTGGAGGAGCTCTGAACATACATAGGCTATCTGATATCTGAGTGTTTCTTAGGATTGGATCACTGATTGTATCATAAAATTTAAAGAAAATGACCTGAACAAACACATTTCACCCACATCTTTCTGTAATTAATGTTAAAGAGTTCGGTCTAGACCTGCTCTATTTGAAAAGTGTCCTGAGATAACTTCTGTTATGAATTGGCGCTATACAAATAAAATTGAATTGAATTGAATTGAATTGAATTGAATTTAATCTCTTCTTGATTTGTAGCATATGAAGGACACATTGCCTTCAGAGCTCAGCTTGGCGTCTAAAACCATTCATTGTTGCATCTTATGTAATAAGGTACAGAAAGCGTGGAGACCTACTTGCAGCGTCTATGAAGCGTGGGTGGGCATCATATGTGATGAGGGGTATAGGCAGCTCTCTGAAGTAGAGTTTGAGGGCTCCAGTGATGATGTTGATGTCCTCGTAAGCGTTTGTGGAGATATCAGCCTTCTCTCCATCTGTGGAGCAACGAATCAAACAAACAATCAATCTGTTATTTTCAGAGAGAGACAGCTACAGAAGACAGGTTTATTGATCTTGCACTGATCCTAAAGGGGAAATGATGTTAGGAAAAACACTCACCTCTGTCAAAGGCCAGCTTGACATCTTCAATCAGCTCACTGAAGCCTGATATTCTGTACAAACCCTCTGACTGAAGACCTGAGACCGGATGAGAGGAGTTAATGGATAAATGTGTTTTAATCAAAGATGACTAAATTCACTAACTCCACCTTCAATTCCAATAATTGCATATTTTCTTTGTCTTCTATCACTATAAATTGAATATTTTTGAGTTTTTGACTCTTGGTTTGACAAAAGAAGACAATGGAAGAAATGTAAGAAGCATTTTCTTTTACTATTTTATTACGTTACAATCAGTTACATCAGTTAATCGGGGAAAACAAACAGCAGAATAATCATGCAGCCCTCTTTTTTTTAAGACAGTCCTGCTGATTATTCTTTAAATTAATGTTGATATACGACAATGTGTTTGTGATAATGGCTTCTTTGCCGTTGTGGCAGCGGAGCAGCTTACGTAAATTAAACCGAAGAAGAAATAGGAGTTAAACACACACAGGCAATATATAAACAAAGAGAGGAGGAGGCCGTGAACCACAGACAGAGACAGAGTGTGAGAGGGATGAGGGGTGAACTCCAGTCAAGTTCAATCACGTCAATTCAGATGCCTTTATTGATTTCTTGTATTATTTTCACTCACGTCTTGAATCGTAGTTAATAAAATCTGTGGCAGCTCCCCAAGACAACTCACATCTCATGGGAGAGTAATTGTAGCACTCCGATTCTTGTGTACATCTTTTTACCATTGAGAACACAGGCTGACATACCAAGCTCGTCTCGTGGGTGTTTTCTCCTCGGTTGCAGTGAACAGTACTTTCAAGCTTTTATTTTTTGGTCAACATTATATAACCACTGACTCACACTCATACATATACACACTCTGATTTTTCTCCCGCTCACCTCTAGCCTCGAGTTCCTGTATGCACATGTCCACCACCATGGGTCTCTTGGTGTTGTGGGCTTTGACCAGCGTGGTCAGGTCGCAGCTGTACACCTTCTTGACGTGCCGCAGGTCTGGCTGGCAGTCGTTCGGCACGACTTTGGAGCACTGCTTGTGGACGTTCAAGCCGCAGTCTGACCAAGAAAGACAGATTAGGAAAGGGGATTTAAGTTATTTTTTTAAAAATGTGATCGTTTTACATCCCCGTGTCCACTCCTGCCTTTAGAGACCCAACAGCAATGTCAGGATAACATAATTCTGTCCATAAATATCTGCTACTTAAAGCATAATAACCACATTGGATAGTAAAAGTAGCCTTTAAACGTAGGCGTTGCAGAGGCACAGTTCATCACCCACGCACACAATAATAATCACACTGACAGCGTGTTCTTTGGCACCAAATTGAATCTTTTAACATTTAGAATCTGCGACACACCGCAGATGACTCAACAGCAAAAGTGACTAACTTTAAACCTGCTGTCCCACTTTTGAGTCACGGTTTTAAGAGAGAGGAGGCGCACGCAGCATGTTGAACAGAGTGGAGGAGGCAAATAGGAACAGAAATTGATTAGATTACTGAGACCAGAGCTGGAGAGAAGTGCATTAAACACTGATGTGTGTGAGAAAGGATGCGTTTGTTTGTGTGTGTATTACCTGCACACTTGACTCCCTGAGCGATGAGACCCCACATGAAGTTGGCACAGTACTCACACCAGTGGGGGCCTCTGAATGTATGAACCTGGTTTAAGAGACAGAGAGAGAAAAAGGGGACATTTAATGTTAAAAGGCTCTTTTTAAAAATGTAAGTTTGTCACAGAATTCACAAAAAAAGGTAATAAATAAATAATAAATAGAAAAATACATCAATTAAGTGTAGCAAAAATGCTATATATGCACAGGTATACACTGGGAAGGAAAGGTGAGAAAAATATGAATATAATCCAGACTGGGTCAAGTACTTGAATACCAGCAATAATCAGAATGATGGAGACACAATAGGAGTGCTGAGAGGACATTTATAGAATAATTACAGGCAGAACAGTCTTAATCTGCTCATGTATTGCATAAATTGACTATATAATGAAATGCTAATAACCTCCATCACATCACAGTGCTCTTTGTGTGTGTATGTGTGTGTGTGTATATGTGTGTTCGTCCATGTTTCCCTTGAGCTCGGTACACTGCGGCTCTGACCTTTGTGCTCCTCACTAATGGCTCCTTGTAATATGGAAATCTGGAAATCTAAACAGAGGCTTAAAGCCTGAAATGTAAATGCAGAAATGTGTGTTTCTGTGTGCGTGTGTGTGTGTCCTAACACTCTCTGAGGTGAATTTGAATAAGACCCCATGAGCTGAATCAGCGGTTCTGGCATTGCACAAGACACAAACACACACACACACACACAAACACACATAAACGGGGGGAGGCTCACCTTGAAGTTGTGGACCTTCTCGTACTTGGGCGCCAAGTCGCTCTCCCTCAGGGTGGCCCGCCGCACCAGCGATGTGAGCTGCGAAAGGGCAAAAGATCTGATTGGTTGCCAGAAGGTGGAAGCAGGGGAGGTGGGTTTAGGGGGGGCCGGCGCCCGGTTGAGACGGGTTCCTGAGCCCTTGCTGGGGTCCGAGGGGCTGCCGGAGACTGGCAGGGAGGGAATTGAACCAGCGCTGACATTTAGACCGAGAGCTGTGGTAAACAAAGCGCTCCTCTGACCTGTTTCCTTCTCAGCTCGCCTGCGTGATTGCTTTTTACCTCTTTTAACAATGTACGACTCTCTGCTCGGCATTGTGGGACCTGTAGTTTTGTTGTGAATTTAACTCACACTGGAGGGTTTAAATCAAATGCTGGCTCCGAGACCAAAATCAGAATCCTATTAATAAATCAGACTATGAATATAAAACCGAAAAAATTGCATAAACAAATGCCCTGGCTAATCAATAAAAACAGGAATAAGTAGAAAACGTCACAACAACGAGACTCTCAAATCACTTCAAATCTCCATCTGACAACAACATCCCAAACCGAGGAGCCAAAACAGGACCAATCCTGCTGTCTTAGCACCACAAAGATCAGCCAATCAGATCAGCTCTGCATACTGATGCTGGCTGCATGGTGCAATTCCAAGTCATAACAAAAAGAACAAAAACAAAAAAGCCAGACCCCAATAAAAATTAAAAAAAACAGTCTTGAGATAAAGAAAATATGAAATTGTAGAAAAAAAGTTCACTTAAAATGATTCCATAAATCTTCACGTCTTGAAATGCGTGCCCAAAATCCCTCAAACCCGACTGATGCGGCAGAATGTACATTCCTGTCTCTCGGTCTCGTGTAGGTGAGCGCTCCAGCCCACATGGCTCAGTGTGTGTCTGTCTGTGTGTGTCTGTCTGTGTGTGTGTTAATCCCATCCCCTCCACACACTCACCAGGCAGAAGCAGTGGAGGAGGGAGGTGACAGAGGCGGGGAGAGAGTGAGAGAGAGAGAGAGAGAGAGAGAGAGAGGAGGGAGGGAGGGGGGGAGGCCGAGCTACGGTGCAGTAATGGATGAATATAACAGGTTACATCGAGAGGAGACTGAGCCAATCAGAAGACAGAGATTCTTGTTGTTCGTCACCAAATCTGCCACCTCAATTGTCCCGGGAGAGAAAGAGAAAGAGAGGGAAGGAAGGAAAAATGAGCTCATAAAACGAGCTATAATTTCATTCATGCGTTCACACTTCCTGTGCCTCTTTGTTTCCCCTCACATTTCTTTTGTCGTACTGACTGCAATCAATCAATCAATTGTTCCTCCGATGTCTCCCAGTTTCTGTGATAATAATCAACCGCAAACAATAGCAACTGCAGTGGTCTAGGTTCATGCGTGTTGTTCAGGTTTATGCGTGTAGTTCAGAACAGAATATACTTGTCCTTAAGATGGCTCTTAAATCAAAAAGCCCTGGTCTTCCATTATCTTACATCCTAACACAGAGTAACAATATATCAGAATACTTTAAGGCTACATTTTCACTTAAAAAGCGCCTTTTTTTCCCATAAGTTTCTGGTTGAGTGCCGCCTCTGGGGATGTTTGGACTTACCCTCTTTGACATTTTAGGGCTGAACAAACTGTCAACAAACAAGCCGTGGGACTGCATTTTAATCCTGTTACTCTGCGAGAGATTAAAAGCTTCAAGCTGCGTGTGTTGATTTTAGATATTTTACATCAAGATACTACAAATCCTGTTCTGTGGCGAAGTACTGATATTTTAAAAAGATATAATGAATTAAAAAACCTTGGATTTTTAACACAAAATACCATTATTTTGAGCGAATCCTAATCCTGAGTTTATATACACACACACATACACAACAGTGAATATGTATGACTGGTCATAGATATTTAATGATCTTCTCGTTGCATATGGATGGTCGGGAGGAAGGTGCTGAACAAAAGAGCACGACGAATGTAGACAGAGAGGATGACAGAAAATGAGGAGAAAGGGCGTGTTATACTGAGCAAGCTCATAATCTTAATGGGGATATCATCTGTGCACTTTTATTTCCTAACGTGCACATTTTTTAAATGAGTTTGCGGATCATTTTCTGTCAGATCGAAGCCTCCCCCTGTCACCGTCCAGTGAACTCACTCTCAAAACAAGGCCTTAAAAATTAAAATTTAAAAAGTCATCGCCGGAGCCACCTCTTTATCGCCTCCCAAGGGGGCCGTTAAATTGCATTTAACCCTCAATAAGAAGGTGATGGGCTGAATGAACGTATGAAATATGTATTTCTTGTCTTCCCTACAGAGAGCAACCTCTGGTCTCAATGTCACAGCCGTACTGCTTTGTCTGCAAATCCAGCCAATTATGAAAAGCACACACGTACACAGCAGGACCACCCCCATCACACACACACACACACGACAGTGATGTATGAGGTGCAGTGGAGGTGGTCATGCACTGCAGGTCATACAAGGCCTCAGGAGGCTCAGTACTGGTGTAGCAGATAAACGCATTGCACACACTACTTTGTTACGAGCCTGTCGCTGTGTGTTCTAACTGTATTACACTTTTTGTTTGTATACACAAGTCTGGGTTCTTGTTGTATGAATGGATCTGCATCTACTGCCTCGTTCTCATGCATCCACCTGCACAAAACACCCAGCTTGCAGAACTGAAATTTACATTAAATGCTGCCCAGTGACGAGCGTCTGCGTCAGCTCTAGAAAACTCACATCTCCTGTAGAAAAAGTTCCCTGTGTGGCATCTGGGTTAAAAACTAATCACAGAAAACAAACTAATCATCTCACAGCTGAATGAAACTAATGAGGCAACAACAAAGTCAGTTCCTGAATACTTAGTTGATGGCTTTTAGGGGAGATAGCAGGTTTCTGCAGGCAAACTGCTGTTATGTAATTTTACTGCAGAGCCCTTGGCTGGAGGCCATCTCTCCTCTGCATCCATCCTCCTCCTCCTCCTCCTCCTTCACCATGTTCCTCAACTCTCATCCTTCCATCTTAGTACTGTACATACAGCGACTTTCCTCACCTTTACCCTCATTTTAACTCTCAGCTGAACATTTTAGTTTCACAAGCCTCAATCTTTTGATATAATACATGTATATATATATATAATTTTTTCAGACTTTTTACTACATTCTGTAAATATTATGAAGAGAATGATCTTTCCAGGTTATTTTGCATACTGCCCACAGCGTAAATCAACTCATCTTCCACTTGCAAATAACTTATGTCTTCTGGATTCAGGCGCATACATTTAACATTTACATTTAATTAGATGCAAATGCGAATCCAGCCCATCTCTAATTCTTTCTCTGGATAAATCCATCCTAAAAACCAAAGCTCATCTCAGCGTTCCTGCACATTTTCCACTGTCGATTTCTGTACTCATTACTGGTATCACTTTTGAGATAATACAAATGACTAATTACTCCCCATTTTTATTGTCTTCTACAACATGCAAAGGAAATTAGCAAAACAGCCAGTCAAAGAGACTTGATGAATGATTAAATTAGTCTCAGAATGGTTCATTTTATGGGCTAATTTCAGACTGTGGCTTCCTAAAGGGAATATTATTTGGTGTCTAGCCAATATTCTGTGCCAACATTACTCCATTTCTTTTACCCGAAAAACCCCCTAAGCCTTCAGGTTGGTTTGCCAAAAACATATGTTAATTGGAGGATGATTTTGGCCCTAGTTCCTGCAGTTACTATTAAAAAAGAATCCAGATTTCTGGCAAAGAGTGATGAGTTTTCGTAGATATTGATTGGTACTGGGTATTTCCTTAACAACCCCTTGCCAATGTAACAGTCAAATCCCAACATCAACGCGTTCGTCCTCACCCTCTCCTCCGCATTGTGGTCGTCCTTGGCCGGAGTGGGTCCGTCCGGGGCCTCTGGGCTGAGTGGTAAGTGTTTTTTCAAGGTGGGCTCCTGGTTCAGGGTGGTGTAGCCCACATGTTCATAGATAGGGTTTATGGTCATCTTAGCGATGTACTCCGCTGCCTGATAGAAAAGAAGGTCACTGTAAATATGACAGGCTCATTTATGACAATTACAATGTTTCGGTGTCCCCAAACACTATGAATGATTATCTTTTCTGTCCCTGGACTCAATCTTGCAATAATAGTCTTCATTTACACAGTTTTGTTCCCCATAGTACTTTCTTATTATCTAATGAAACAAATAAACACTTAATGGGGAGTGAGCTCCACAAAATTGCCATGTTCCTTCTTTCTTCAGGGATTATTTTCAAGGAATCACAGGATTGAAACGACTAAGTAAACAAGCGGTGATCAAATGGTATTACGTAAATCAAGCTTCTTCAACCTGGCGAGCGTGGGCTGAAAACTAGTGGCCAAGTAATCATCCATAATCAGTGTTTACATTCACAGTGATTACAACTATTCAGAGCTGATCAATGGCTCTAACTGTGCAGCCTATGTTATATGAAACAAGCCAAAACCTACAAGAGTACTTCGCAATGTTGCTTTGAATGTACGATTAAGAAGGAAAGAGTAGAGGACAGATGCACACACACACACACACACACACACACACACACCTTTGTCTCGATGTAGAGTGTGATGAGGCCGTCCGTGACCAGGTCGTGGATGGACTCAAATCTCTTCTCTCCGACAAAGTGCTTCCCGTCATGGTAGAGACGGAAGTTTCTCGTCTGGTTCCCAAACCTGGAAGGAATGGAGGAGGAAGCATTAGCTTCAGCATTGTCTGGATCCTAAAATTCAAAACTATTTGATCTATCAGTCATTATGGCTGGTGCATTCAAGGTCAGCTGCTTGCATTGTTAATAGACTCTTCGAACAGTGGCTGGTGTTTCATCCACAGACAGAGGCAACATTTACCAGTGTCTGGGTTGAATTATTAATGCTTAAAATGTTAGTTAATCTTATTTTTAATGTAACATTTGATCAAAATGACGAGACTAAATGCTTTTTTGTTTCATGTACTACGTCCAAAGAGCAAAAAATAAAACAAAAGAAAAAAGAGGCTTCATCATAACTAAACTCTAATTATATTTTCTCTCTTCATACACAGAAATACCGCAGCCCTTTACTAAGATAATACGGAGCCGAAAAATGGCACAAACTTGAAGCCGCAGAGCTGTGATCGACAGACCCTGAACTGGGCCAACACATTATCCACTCCTCAGTGGACCACAATGAAACTGCCGCTACATCATTAACCCAAAATCCAACCTTTCCTTTTCTGCAAACCCAGAGCGGAACACTAGTTTATGAAGGGTGTATTTATGGAAGGTAATTATAACCACAGGGAGAGAAACAGGTGGAAGAATGACACGACTATGAATAGAGCCAACTGACCCAAAACCAAATTCAAATTATGCCATGCACCCATTTAAAAGTGTGGCACCTACTCCGAGAAAAATGATAGGTCATATTCAAGTGAAACTGACGGCTGATGTGCCAAGAAGAGAACCAGGTTACGTCAAAGTCATCAGCTGGACACAAAGACTTACTAAGGCACGTTAAACTTCTATAACCAACAGGGAAGAAACAACCACTCCCTCATGAGGAGAGGCTCCATGGAAGACGGCGTGTGGAGCCATGTGAGTTAAGAGATGAGCGCCTCTGAGCAGCTTACAGCTCAACTGCTGACTTTTAAGCCCTCACACCTCACAGCACCTGGGGTGTGAGCACACGACCAGACACGCTCAGCGCTCACACAGCACCCGCAGCTTCACTTTTTTCTTGCCTTCTCAAACAAATGTGTGCAGGTATAGACGAAGGTGCCGCAGGTCAAACAACTCAGAGGAAGTGGAGAGGCAGAACACACGCAGTATAAGCACTTCTTCAAAATAAGAGACTTTCTTTGGTTTACTTTTCTGAAGACTACGTGTAATATATATATTTTTTTATTTCACATTGATCCTTCCTCCATGGACTTATAAACAACAACAGGTTAAGTGTCTTGCAGGGCCAAAGACTGTTACAAGAACAGGATAGAGGG